TGAGGTTTTCAGCATCTGAAAATATTTTGATGTTGCCCATAAGGTTTTCAGTGGCTAATTCCTCTGAAGTGGACAGTTTATGCCTTCTTTTTAAAAATTTAATTTGATTAAAATAATTTTTTTGAGAAATAATACATCATTTTATTGGGGGCTCTTACTACAGCTCTTATAACAATCCGTACATCAATTGTATCAAGCACATTTGTACCTTTGTTGCCATCCACTTTATTCCTTCTTCATCCTTAGTCTGGAAGTTCTGCTGAAACTTGTTCACTTTGGGTGACCTGGCTGGTAATTGAAGTACCAGTGACATAGCTTCCCGCACCACAGCAATTCATAAGCCGCCAGAGTTTGACAAACTGACAGATAAGTGGTGGTGGACAGTTGTGTAAGGACCAGGAAATCATCAATACCAACATCACATGCCTCACTAAAGACAAGCATTTCCAGCCATCGCATGAGAGGCGACTTAATTGTTTAACCAAATATAGCGGACTAATATTTTGGAGGGGTATTTATTTATTTACTTTTAAGTAAAAGATCATTTTATTGGGGGCTCTTACAGCTCTTCCAACAATCCATACATCAATTGTATCAAGTACATTTGTACAAATGTTGCCATTAAGTAGCAGACTAAGTTTTAAGTTGATAGTTTTGTATGGCTCAAACATTATGGTACAGAGATTCAAATGGCCTTTGACAGAAAAGCAGTACCACTCCCTGGCTTACAGGAGTGAGCTCTCAGCTGGACTTTGCTGAAGATCGTTTTATGGCCCTGGGAGACCCTGCCATCGCCAGGCCTTAGTTTTCCCATCTGTTCATGGGTGTAGGGATTCAACGACATGCTTCAAAGATCACAGCTGGAGCATAAACTGGGCCTTCCAGGTTCCTGGGGTGAGCCAAAAAGGAGCAGCCTCCGTGAAGGCTTAACCAGCCCGCCAGTCGCCACAAGGAGCTTGCTTCTTCCTGATGCACAGCCTCCGCGAGTCAAGAGAATTGGCAGCTTGAGTGAACTCCCCCGGAGAGGAGGTGAGAAGATTGGTTCTAAAAATCAATAAAATTGTCCAGAGAATCAAGGGTTACTTTCAGAATCTTGCACCCAGGCAAGAAGAGTCCTAAAGTCTACCTGGCCAGGCTCAGGCCTCCAGACTGGAAAAGAAACTCTTATGAAAGCAACTTCCTCCAGGTTCCCATCAGGCTTGTCTTGTCTCCTCTCCTGTCACAAAAGAGCCCTTCGCTTTGAGAGGCTAGGTAACATGTGCATGTATGTGAGTGTTTATGTCTGTCTGGGGTGTAGGGGAGCGTGGGGACAATTGTTCCATCCAGCAGGGACTGAAGGAGGTGTGGCCTGTATGCAGTGGTGGGGACACCAGGCAGCTGTAGCTGCTCAAATGGTGGTGACAGTGGAACAGGGCCCAGGGCTTCTGCTAAACCCTTCCAGAGACACAGGGGTCCGCTGGGGTTCTAAGGTCAGCCTGCTGGTGGCATTCCCATAAAGCCCCACTTCTTGAAAAATTCAACTCTCGAAAAGTCCACCACTCCTGGCTTTTCCTTTGGCATTGGGACACATCACTGTTGCTTCTGCTGGGCAGCAGATAGAAATGTGGGCCTGTGTTTAGGCTTCAAATGGCACAAAGGTGTGTAGCATTAGAAACAAGGATCCTGTTATTCATGAATAAATGTCTGGGGTTTAAAAGCTTGTCTCAAAAACAAGCAGCCATCTAAGCGAGGAGTTAGCCAAGTTCACAAGGAAGAAGCATGCCAATCTTGTGTCATCCAATGATAGCGACAAATAACATCCAAATCTGGAAAAGGGAACAGGCCCAGTGCCCAGATCCTAGATTGTGGGAAACTCTAGATGATAGTGGTACCTTAAAAATCCATTCCCAGGGTCACTTCATGGGATGAGTCTCTGCTGAATCCCCAAAGCCCATTGGCTAGATATTACAAGTAGCCCAAAAATCTGAACCTGAGCTTTGTAATGACCCCATTACAACTGTACTCAGGCCAAATTGTAATGTCTTGTAATTTGATCTCCCTACAGACCCAATGGGCATTTATTCTAATCTGTTCCTATTCTCAGCTTTCTATTAGATTGAGGTCTCTGTTGGTTTCACATAGACATTTTTGATGGACCCTTGCTTGGTGTCTGCCCTCGGATGCAACAGGATGGATAATTATCTGGGGACACCTGGGAGGGGGGGGGGGCGGTAAGATAGAGAATCAACATCAATGTGTTAAGGGGAGAAAAGTTCTAAAACACAGCCCTTCTTGATATGATTGAGCCATTGCATTACATGATAATTATAACTCAATTAACAAAACCAAAAGAGGATCCTGCTCACTAAGGCGAGAGGCTCCAGCTAAGAGAGATAGGCAGAGCACAGAGTCCCAGCTGTTTCAGATGCTGTCCGTCACTCACCGCTTCGTGACTATAAAGAGCATGCGGTGCATGAGTGAGCTCTTGGGAGCAGCTTCACCAACCTTGCATATCCTGAGCCAGCTGAGTTGTGTTAGCACCTCCCAGAGGCCCTCGGTGGAATTAAGCCACTGATGTCCACAGCAACGGTCTGTTACCACACTGTCTTCTGACTTCTGTTCTTCGCCTGGAGAGCATCTCTACATTCCTGCTGGTACTTTCTGTCATGGCATCCCAAATAAACCACTTCTGCTGGAATCCTTGTCTCAGGTCTGCTCCTGGGACAACCTAAGACAAAGACAACTGTCTAAGAGAAATGGTGGGCAGGGCTCACTTAACATTCATGTGTCATTTGTCATGCTTCCTTCTGGGGAGCGTGTGTGCTTGATTTCAGGCAGATCAGAGGATGTAAGATGCTTCTTATGCTACATCTGAAGCTGGTTTCCATTTTGCAGGTAAACCCAGGGCTTGTGTTGTGACAGAAGACATCAGCTTGCCAGAGATGGTTGTGAAATCTTCAGGAATATTTTGTGCTGGTTATCAAAGTGTTGGTAGCTTGAAATCAGCCATAACGGGAAATGGGAGTATTTAGATCATGGAAGTTGGCAAATGCTGTTAGTCAACCCCTTCACAGCTGTTAGATTTTTACTAGCACACCACTGTCCAGAGGACTCTGGAACCCTCAGGGTAGAGGGGTGGGCAGGGCAGGTAATCGGGAAGTACCCTTGGTAGAAGGCTAAAAAAACCAAACCCACTGCCACGCACTTGTGACTCACAGCAACTACAAAGAAGAGAACTGTTTGTTTCCTATGTTTTCTGAGACTAGATCTTTGCAGAAGCAGCTGGTGTGTTTGAACCACCCATCTGGCTAGTAGTTCAAGGCTTACCCTACTGAACCACCAAGACTCCATTTGGAAGAAGGATGTTAGCAAGGGGAGGTAGAGAAGGCAGCCCAGGAGGAAAGACTTGGGCAAGGGCTCTCCTCTGCAGGAGCCCAGGTAGGTTCACTAGGGGGTGCCTTTGTTGGCCGCACACATCCTTCTTTGCATTTGGTGAGTCTGGAGCATTAGAAGCAGCCCTGGCTCAAGGAGCTCAGGGACAAGCCTGTTTAGTGTTTGCCCGGCCTGGTCCAGGCGGCAGCAGTGGGCTGGCCTAAGCTAGAGCTCAGAGAGGGATCACTTACAAGGCTGAGGTGGGCCTGTGTTGACCACCAGTGTCCTCAAGGTCCTCCGTGGTCTGTCAGCCACAGCCAATGGAGGGTGCCTCAGGAGGGCCTGTCAGGGTGTGCGTCTGGGGTGTGAGTGTGTGCTGTGTGGTGGCTGGGTGGGGGTAGGTAGTGGAGTTATGAAAGTGGGGTGTGTGTGTGTATGGGTGTGTGAGAGAGGTTGTAAACTGGTGTGTCTGGCAGTGTTTTAGCAAGCAGGTTATAGAAATAGACACTTTATGTATTCCCCTTTGTTCTATGAAATTATACTTATATGCATTAAAATATATTTAATGAGAATAAACCTAAATGTTATTGGCACCATTATTCCAGTTGGAAGAGTTTGGATGGTCCCAGGGCAAGAAATTTTTTGTCTGTTTTTTTTTTAACGTTGTGAATATTTGGATTTTTATTTATTTTAATAAATCGTCTTATTGGGGGCCCTTATAACAATTCATACATCAATTTCATTAAGCATATCCAGGGGCAAGAATTTGATATGAACAAAATACTAGCGGTACAAATGACAGGAATACAGTGCTTACCCCAGTGCCCATCCGACGGTTGACCTTTTAATTGAAAAACAAATCAAGCCACTTTTTATTTGGTAGACATTGCAAACACCAAAAAGTTGCAAGTACAGTACGTAATGTAATGCTATACAAGTATGCTCTGGAGTCAGCTATTTTAACATGGCACCCTTTATTTTTTTAACCCCATTTTTTAAATGTTCAAATTCCTGAGCGATGTTCAGAGACAGCAGCAGATGTGATGTCATGCGTTATGCACACCGGGGCTCCCGCCAAGGATCCTCACTCACCTACCCCCATAGCACGATCCCCTTTTCTTGTCTGCATTGCTCCCAGCTCCGACTGTCCGGCTGCGTGGGCCCAGTGCGCCTCCCAGCAAATACCTGTACCAGCACTGGCCGAAGCAAAGGATTCGACAGTGCGGGACGGGCCAAGTTCTCTGCGCCGGCTCCCCGGCGGGCATCGCTGCCCTCTCCCCGCCAAGCTGCCCCCCAGAACCTTACACCCGGTCCCGTCCGCCCAGCCACGCCGCGCGCCCGTGCGTCCGTCCTCCCGCGCCAGACTCGGGGGGCGCGACTCCCCCTAGCAGAGCCATGCTTCCTCCTCGCCGAAGGTCCCGGGCAAATTAGGGCTGTAAAAAGACCGGGGCCGCCGGCCGAGCTGCCCTCCGGACAAACCAGCCCCGCCCCGGGCCGCGGCCGTGCCGCCAGCCCGCAGACCAGCAGGAGGCGCACCGGGCTCCGCCCCGCCCCCGAGTACGGCGCCCGCGCGCGAGGACCCTGCCGGGGGCTGCCCGTCGGGGCGCCTGAAGGACCTCGCTTGGGCCCCGCAGGCTGCCTAGCGCGCTGCCTGACGCCCAGGCGCCACGAAGGAAGGACCCCGTGGAGCCTGTCCTGCATCAGGTTGGGCGCGCGCTCCGGAGAGCTCGGGACTTGGCTTGGACTTGCACCCTGAGCTTGAAAGGCGACCTGGGGCAAGAGTGGGTGCCAGTGGAGCGCGGAGGCCGGGAGGTCCCTGGTGGGGGGAGTTGAGGCGGGGGCTGCGGGTCGGGACCGCGGGTGCGGAGTACCTTCGCGTGGCCGCGGGTCTCGGAGGGGTGGACGCCGTAGACGAGGGAGACACTCGGGCAACTTCTGAAATGTGCCATTCCCTGAGTTGAGTACGTTTCTCGACCTGCCAACGCTGTTCCAAGCCAAGTACCAGGAGAACCCTAATTTGCCAGGCGCAAGGAAAAGAGAGGGACTTTGCCTTCTCTCGACGGGCAGCGCACTCTCCCGTGGAGAGTCCCCTGACAGACTGGCTTTGGAATGGCTGCATCAGGACCACTGGGTCAATTAGCAAAGATTTACTGCTTAGGAGCGCTGACGGCATGGGAGTTAAGCGTTGGACCCCCCCAATCGTGAGGTCAGCAGTTCGAATCCACCAGTAGCCCCGCTTGGGTGGGGGGGGGGAGGCGCGGCGAATGATAAGTCTTTCTACCCCTGTCAAAAGTTACAGCCTCCGAAACACACCAGCGCAGTTCTACCCCACCGTGAGTTTGGTTTAAGTTGAGTGGGAAGCAGCTGTGTGCCAGGCAGTGTGCATAGAAGGGCAGGTGTGGTGCTGAGCCTAACAGCCCCCTCTCACCCGTCCGATTCCAAACGGGAGCACCTGTGCCAGGAGCAGTGAGAAGGTGTCAGGAAGTGAGTGAGATAGAAGTCATCAGGAACAGCATTTTCTAGACAAACAGCCCCAACACACACACACACCAGGAGCAGTGAGAAGGTGTCAGGAAGTGAGTGAGATAGAAGTCATCAGGAACAGCATTTTCTAGACAAACAGCCCCACCACACACACACACACACACACATACACACACACACTCCACACACATTCCGAAACTAAAACTGTGGCAAAAGAAAGCTAAGAGGTGTGCGTTTACAGATGAAACCGGAGAGGACCACGGGGCCCAGATCCCACAAAGCGCGGTGGGCCACGGCAAGGATTTCGACTTTGATCCTCCACGCAGAGTCCACTTTAGGGTTAAGGAGAGGGATGGTAAGGACCGCGTTGGCGTGTTTCCTTCCCGCAGGCTGCTCTGAAGAACAGGTCAGAGAGAGTGGCCGGAGTAAAAACTGGGAGACCAGGGAGGAGTCTGTGCAAAGCTCAGGGAGGGATGATGGTGTCCTTCCTGGACGAAGGTAGTGGCTGTTGAGAAAGAAAGAACTTTATAGATTTGGGGGAGGGAAAATGGCTGGGACTGAGCTGGCATCAACTACATGGCGGTAACTTGGCGGCGGGTGGTCGGTGGTGGTGGTGGTGGTGGTGGTGGTGGTGGTGGTGGTGATGGTGGAGATAGCCTGGGTATGGGGGGTGGGAAGGCAGAGGAAAGAGGTGTCAAGGTAGGTCCCCTAGATCCCTAATACAGAGATTACACTTGCTCTAGGTACTCAGCACCTGAGCTGTTAGGGAGAGCGGCGTGGCTCAGTTTGTATTGGTTGCACGGGCTTGGCTTTGTCTTTAGGGTGGAGGGTCCAAGGGAAAGATTCGGCAAAGACGCAAGTAGAGAGACTTTGGCATAGCTTCATCATTGGGGCCAGACCCTAGCATCACCTTCCATGTGATTGGTCAGCTCCCTGCAGGCTAAGACAAAGGAGAGTGTCGCCCAGGTTCTGCCGCTGCTTGTGTTCCCAGATGTCTGATCCGCTGGTTGGGAGACTTAGGGCTCTATCAGTTCATCTGTGAAGCCTAGTCTCTACTCCTGCAAAGGTGATGAGTCTCTCACAAGTAAATTGAACCTTGCAGTGGGAAGAGGCCTTCCTCTCAGGTTCCCGTTTGGAAGACACTGTTATGTCCTTTAGTTCATTTTCCACAGTATTGATTTTGCTTTGACCTCCTGCTAGACACTAAGCATATGGAGATGCGTAGGCTGGAACTGTATAGGTTAATTTCGTCAACAGAACTGATAGAGCACACCCTTACCTTAGCAGCACACATGCTTATCTCGATTGAGTGCCTTTGTCAGGCACTGTCCTAACGAGTTCAAGTAGAAACTCACCTGAATGTTGCATGTTGAGAAGCCTGCTGTATTAGGCCCCTGAGCATATTAAAGGACTTGATCTAATCTGAGGTGATCCTGACCATTCTTAAAAGTATCCAATAGACTTTTTGGCATGCCAGTATCATCCCAACTCCTGTCCATCAATCTTCCAATTGACGAGAATTGATGAGAGGAACACTCAGATCGGGGGGGAGATGGTTCAAAAGAGGAATCCATGATTGTACCCTGTGGCCAACTGGTTTGGGACTGTACCTTGTACGTCCTCTATAAAAACACAAGAGAAAGTGGAACTGAGTAGTGTTTAAACTTCAGTGTGCCCCTCCTAGGCTTGCAGTTCAGGGCAACATGAATGCCCTTTCCACACTCCGAGGGGCCCAAATGGGCCAGGAAATAGCAGATACAACCCTGTGGTATAACTGTCCAGTGCTTTGTAAGTGTCAGGAGTGAGGAGATTGGCTGACTCACCAGAAGACCTAGCTCTGGGGGAGGGAGGTGGGAGTGCAGCCCCAGCGGTTCCCTAAGGCAGCTCTCTGGTGGCAGAAGGGACATGGCCTCGCTGGGACGGAGCCCTCAGGCTCTTCAGCTCACGCTAGCCCTGATCAAGCCCGATGCAGTTGCTCACCCGCTGATCCTGGAGGTAAGAACGAATCCTATGCCTCTGATGTCTGCCCCGGAAATGCTAGCATTTGGTCCACTGGTGGCTACAGACTGCAGCATCCTACACGGATCATGTGGAGGCCACGCTGGGAGCCATGGACCCCGAGCCTAAGGAGACTAAAACTCCATTGGAGAATTGGGACCAGTATGAAATAGCAAGAAGGGAACCAGTACCATGATCAAAAGAGCCAGCTCTCAAGACCAAATATGTGTATCCATTCTCTTTTGCTGTAAAACATATTAGCACAAACTGTGGGTGAAACAAAATCCATATGTTCTCTAGATTTGAAGTCCAGCAGGCTCAGGTGGGTTCTCTTTTGAGGGTCTCACAAGGCCCAAACCCAAGGTGCTGGCTGATTGCATCCTCCGGTGGTGCTAGGGAGCACACACTTTCAGGTTATTAGAAGTCGATTCCTTGTGGTTACAGGATCCACGTTCCTTTGCTGGCCACCGGACAGGGACTGTTCAGCTTCCAGAGGGCACCCACATTCTTCATCCCACAGCCCCCTCCTTCTCCAGCGCAGCAACATCCCATCCAATCCTTATGCTTACAATGCTCTGATTTCTTCAGTTCCCAGCTGTAGAAAATTGTTTTTTTGAAGGGCCCCGTGTGGTTCGTTAATTGCCCTGATGATGTAGAGTTCCTCATTGGGCTGCTAACTGCAAGGTCGGCTGTTCTAAGCCACCAGCTGCTCCAAGGGAGAAAGACCGAGGCTTTCTACTCCTGTAAAGAATTGCGGTCTCGGACACTCATGGGGGCAGTTCCACTCTGTCCGGTAGGACCACTGTGATTCAGCATCGACTTGATGGCAGTGAGTTTGGTTTCGTTTGGTGTGATTGATTCGGCAGGCCCACCTGGATCATCCGCAAAACCCCTGCCGCCATATAATTTCACACAGTTGGGGATAGGAGCGTACCTCGCGTTCACAGTCCTGGAGATTGGATTGGGGAATCTTGGGATGGGGAGTTGTCACTTTCAGATTCTGCCCACCGAAAGTCCTGAGTAAGCAGCGCTGGTGACTGCAGCCACCGGTGCAGAGTAGGAGCAGAGTAACGAGGGCTGTAGGGCCTCGAAGTGCCACAGAGCGTGGCCACTCAGGAAGGGTGGGCTTGGGGCAGGTGCTCTGGAGGAGGGTGGATGTTCCTCAAAGGCAGATGCTAAGGCAAGATAGTGTGTGTGTGTGTGTGTGTGTGTGTGTGTGTGTGTGTGTGTGTGTCAGGGATGGGGTGGCCACACTAGATAATTGGGGTGCAGAGGAAGGAGAGAGTGCATCCTTAAGCACTGAGCGGAAGCGCTGGCCCCCTACTCCATGAACAGCAGAGACCACCCCAGAGCTTCCGACCAGGGTGTGAGATCATCAGTTGGGGTCTTTTTACCCTGTTATGTCTGGAGGGGTGGAGAGAGCGGGTCCCCGCAGGCTTTCATGTTCTAAGTGGTGGGCACAGGGGCCTGGAGGCATGGAGGGGCAAAGACAGGCCTTGCTCACGCTCTGACTGTAACGGGGATGTCTTTACCCCTCCCACCCTTCTGCCCCACCCACAGAACAGACCCTCAAGTCCTGGGTTGGGAGGGATGGCGGGTGGGGGTCAGCCTGGCTCTCCTGTGCCCTCCAAAGCTCCCTTTGCCTGATTTGTATCTTTGGGATGGCTTTTATCCAGGCTGTTCATCAGCAGATTCTGAGCAACAAGTTCCTGATAGTTCGCATGCGAGAGCTCCTGTGGAGAAAGGAAGATTGCCAGAGATTTTACCACGAGCATGAAGGTAGGGCCCGAAGTCTTCCGAGCGGGAGGCTTCCCTGTCCTGAGAGGCAGTCAAGAGCGTGTATCTGGACCCCAGTGACACGGGCCCTCTGACCCCCAGATTGTGTACAGTGTCGGCCAATCTTCCAGGCCTTTGTTCATACGCAGACTGTTCATGATCAGCGATCATGTTTCCGCATTTTCTCATAGCCCCAGCCCGAAATGTGCTGTCCTGCCCTGACAATAGTATCAGTTGTTCACCTTGAGTGAGCATGTCTGATCTTTGTCAGTCCTTGCCCTAATGTTCACCCCTTCATTTAAAGGGCACCCGTGCTGGGAGGTAGACCTTGTTTTTGTCTATCCCCGGGACACAGATTAGAAACCTCCCTGAGTTGGGAAGGTTAACGACTCACCGCAAACTGCACAGGTTGTAAGTGGTTGAGCCTGGACTCAGACCCACCTATGTCAGACTTCAAAGGCCTGGGTTCTTCGTTGTTGTTTTTTCCTAAAGAGTTTTCGGTATTCCAGAACAGGAGGTTGAAATTGAAAGTTTCCCCATGTTTTGACAACGATACTCTTTCTTGCTTGGCAGGGCGTTTTTTCTATCAGCGACTGGTGGAGTTCATGGCCAGGTACTTCTAATTTTGGTTCCAGAATCTGTATTCCCCCCGCCCTCATGCGCCAGTAGACAAGTGGGGTGTAGAGTCACAATCACGCAATCAGTGTCAAGTCTGAGGAAGCCTGGGCGTGGGGCTCCGCCTGCTCTTTCACCGAGCCGGTTGTCACCTGTCCTCTGGTGGCTTCAGAAGAGGATTGTGGAATGCTGCCTACCTGATGTGTGTGGCCTCTCTCGGACCTCCACAGAGGCCCTCCATCTGAAGCAGCACTGGTGCTCAGCTCAGAAGGCAAGGGGACTGTCTGGGTCGGCTCACAGTGGGCCTGCCTTCATGCCCGGCTCACAGTGGGCCTCCTCAGACCAGATGGTCAGATGGCTGACACGTGCCCCTCGCACTCACAGCGGGCCAATCCGAGCCTACATCCTTGCTCACAAGGATGCCATCCAGCTCTGGAGGACGCTGATGGGACCCACCCGAGTGTTCCGGGCACGCCACGTGGCCCCCGATTCAATCCGAGGGAGTTTCGGCCTCACTGACACCCGAAACACCACTCACGGCTCCGGTGAGTCTGCCTTGGCTCCAGTCCCAGGTAAGGGAGGGCGGCGAACGCCCTTTGTGGCAGGGCTGACAGTCAAAGTTCCATTTGTGTGCCTGGCCTTTGCAGCCATAGAGGGGGCACCTATCACCCCACTCTACATGCCCGGGGCAGGCAAGGGAAGCAGAGGCTGGCTCAGCGTGGCAATAGCTTCTAAATCTAGTGGCGAACACCTCTCGCCTCCTCCTGCACTGGCGTGAGAGTGCCTTCTCTCTCTTACAGACTCTGTGAGTTCAGCCAGCAGAGAGATCGCGGCCTTCTTCCCCGACTTCAGCCAGCAGCGCTGGTACGAAGAGGAGGAGCCCCGGCTGCGCCACTGGCCTGGATGCTGCCGCCCAGAGGGAGGCTCAGCACCAGCCTGATGCAGGCTTATCGGCCTGTGAAGATGCTGCCTCGCTTTTGGCTCTTAGACCTCTGGATGAAAGCACTATCCCTGGACCAAGGGAGAAAGCCCAGGAGCCTAGCCACCTCATCACTGCCACCTCCTCCAGAATCTATCTCTATCTACCTCTTCCCTGAAATGGCTGCAGTTAGTTCACAAGAATGGTCGCCGGCTGAAGCTGCTCACCTGTTTGGCTCGTCCCTTTGTTGAGAACAATCGGAACTTGCCTGATTGATTTGCCTGGGTGGCAGTGACTTGGTAGAAGCAGCATTTAGCGTATCTTCCTCAATAAAAGTCCGTGCTCAGCAGAACATTTGAGTAGGTTGGGAGCCCTCCTCTGGTAGCGGCAGCTTTCTCTTTGTCCTCAGGATACTGCAGGCTTCCCTGAGAGCAGGTTTCTGGCAAAAGCTAGAAGATCCCTAGGTGGGGAAGTATTACTCACAGCACAACAGATGGCATGTTTACGTTGGGCCCCCTGACCCCTCAAGTCTCCGCGGGGTGTAACACTGTGCATGGAGTCAATTGGGCTCATAGTTAAAGAACCCTTTTTATAAGCGGTTCGTGCAAACCCAGCCAATCTCTTCCCTGAGGGAGACATTGCCATACTAGTCAGTAAATAAACCTGTCCCGTAATTTGGCGGAGGCACTACCTCTAGTCAGGCAATCTGCCGCACAGGAATCCTCTGGTGACGGCAACAACGCAGCCTCTGTCCCTGCTCACAGGCGTGCAGGAATGTCAGAGAGCCCTGGAGAATTGTCTCCTGGTAAAAATCATCCCTCACTTGGCTCTTGAGCATTCTTTCAATGTGAAAGAATTCATATTGTGTCCTTTTGACATGTTCGCATCGTTGTTGTTGTTTTTACAAGCACTTCTTTACTTTCTAGCACGAGACGATGTTCCAAAGCCACCTTGTACTTTTCCCTGCTCTCACCCTGGAATTAGCTGTTTCTCCAAGAAACCCTGGTTGCTTTAGTAGAGAAAAGATACGAAGATCCGGGTGCTAGGTGTGCCCATTGCTACTGGCTTGCCAACTTTTCTCCTTTCCCTCACTTGTAACTCTCTAGGAGGAATCTGGTTCTCCGTATCCCACGTGTCGTGCACACAACCCTCCATCTGTACAAAACGTGTCTTACACACAACCCTCCATCTGTACAAAACGTGTCTTACACACAACCCTCCATCTGTACGAAACGTGTCTTACACACAACCCTCCATCTGTACAAAACGTGTCTTACACACAACCCTCCATCTGGCCCGTTGGCTGGTCTCCCGTATGGCCCCCTTCCCATGGGATCCTTGCCTCATCTCACCTCACCTCAGGTGTCAGCATCCGATGCCAGGTTGCTGGTACAGGTCTCTCCACTCTCCCTGCCCCAAGAGCAAACCAGGCTTCACCCTAGGCTTTTGGGGTGGGTGGGGGTGGGGGCTGGAGAGTGTGATTACAGAGGAAGTGAGGAACCGAGGGTAATGGATATGTTCATTACCTTGATAACAGTGTTGGTTTCATGGATGTATACACGTCAAAAACTCATCAATCAAATTGTACACTTTGTGTGCAGTGGACTGCGTGTCAGTGTCCCCTCCATCTTGCTTTAAAAAGGAGTCCGGGTGGTGTCAGTGGTTATGAGTCAGGCTCCGTCGCCATGGTCGGCAGTTTGAAACCACCCGCAGCTCTGAGGGAGAAAGACGGGGCTTTCTACTCTCGTCAACAGTGACAGTCTTGGACACCCACGGGGGTCACTATTAGCATTGACTCAACGGATCGGGGGATTTTTGAGAATAAAAAGAAAAGTCTCAAGTGTTTATTTATTTGTATTAGTTTGGATTCTGAAGTAGAAGAAAACACTTCTATCAAGGTTCAAAATGGTTGCTTCCTAAACAATTTAGGCAAATTCATTGTCTAGGTTCCTATAAAGAGATGATGAAATAAATAATTTAAAAGCACACGATGGATGTTTGGCGACACAACGGATTTTCTTGTCAAGGTATGAAGGCTTAGAATAATGACTGGCACTCAGAGATGCCCCTTAAAATATGCTTGAAATCGTTGTTGGGTGCCCCCAGTTTGGTTCTGACTCCTAGTGGCCTGATGTACAATAGAACAAAGCACTGCAGGGCCGCTGCCTGCCTGCCTCCCTTTCCACGTTTGAGCCTGTTGTTGCAGCCACTGTGTAGTCGATCTCAGGACCCTCCAGGTTCGCGAGCCTCATGTCCCTCTCTAAGGACTGGTCCCTCCTGATCGCAAAGTCCCAGCATCCTCCACTCGAAGGAGCATTCTGGCTGTACTTCTTCCGAGACCGATTTGTTCATTCTTAAGGCAATC